AAAAAAAAAAAAAAAAAAACCTTAACTTCCCTCTAAACAAAATATATACCTAGTAATATAAATTCTAAATGTCGATTTTCGAATGATTTAATACTGAAAATAGCATTTATTGTAGTTTCTATGGGAATTATGAATCGGAAGGTACCGATTATGGGGGCTGTGCTTGCCCGGAATCTAACAAAATATTCCACAACGAAAAAAAAAAAAAAAAAAAAAAAATTAACGAGATCGTCTCTTTTTTAAAAAAATATATTCGTTTCGAGATGATTGATTTACTTACAGTACTTATTTTTTTTTATCGTTACTTTAATTTAAATACCGGATTCATATATTATCTGTTATTTAAAAAAAATTTCATGTCATGGCGGTGCAAAAATTTGTTGATTGTGCAATTTAGCGGGCGCAATATTTTTTTTTTCTCATGGATCGGCAGTGAAAAAAAAAGACACTCTCTAAAAGCGCTACACATTACGGAACGTACCAGGAAAGTAAAGAGTAGATTCAAATTATTCAAATTTCTTGCCATCATTACTTTTAAAGATTGTACCGTTGAGTGAAGAGTAAATTTGCGCGTGAAAGAATTTAACTATATTAACTATTATAAATTAAAATGTTATTTATTCATTGGTTCAAAAAAGTTCTGATCAAACTTATTTATTTGATTAAATCAAGATTATTCTATAAAAATTTGCAAGTTTTTTTAAACTTTTCTTTGTGACACAACTCTATTTTTCCTGAAAATCTCTAATAATCAAGTTTAACAAATCAATACCTGCAAAGTGCGTAAAAAAAAAAAATTTTTTTTAGAGTAAATTATATAAAAAAAAAAATCCAGTTTTTTTTTTTTTTTTGAAATTATTAATAAAATCCTAGCCTTCTTGACAATTTTTTTGAAATTTTTTTTTTCGAGTTCTTTCATCTTTCAACTTTACTTTATGCCCGTTTTTCTGAAATATTCGTTACGAAAAGTAAATACGGGAATCATTTATAAAGTACTTGAAAATTCTATTCCTTAAACAAAAAATTCGTTGTCTGCCTCTCAAGGCTTCCCTTTCCACATCCGAACTCCGCCACCCGTTCACAAAGTACACGACAACGCCTCTTTGTACCTGAAAGAAAAAAAAAAGCTCTTACTATTTTTCCTTTAGTATAATGAAACAACAAAAAGAAACAATTGAGGCTTGTTCGGTATTAGCTCTTGGTCGCCCGAGCTCAATGCCACAAAATTATTCTTCGTCAGAAGATATTCAAAGAAAATATTTACCTTATTACAACTCAGACTTGAGTTGTTCACCTACTTCAATGATAGAACCGTTCTCTCTATCTACGGAGGGTAATTACTGTTATTATCCTCCACTATTTTCTTTAGGGCCACCAACCTCCCATACTTTGACACCGGATTCTTCATCTCCTGAAACTTGCTCTGATCTAGACCTTGATCTCACTGATAGTTTCTCGGCGGATTCCCCTCCTTCTTATTTTACGGATCCTTCATTTCCTATTAAAATGGAGAATCTACATCAAGGTTCTTTAAATAATGATCATGATTATAATGTTGCAATGGCCATGGCTAAAGAAATGCCAATTGGCCATTTCTCCCCATATTCTACACAAGGTATAATTCTATTTTTATATTACGTATTTATATTTATATTTATATACTTACATATTTTTATTTATATACTTATATTCATATATACTCCTATTTATATATTTTTATTTTTTTTTTATTTTTTTTTAGGGCCAATGATTTCTCATCCATTGGATTGCTTTTCTATTCCAACGGGTGCAGAATCACCTTTTGTCGGTGTAATTCCAACTTCACAAGAAAAGATTTCCAATTCGACCGCAGATCAATTATTCGAAATGGATGCAAAATCTTTTTTCCCACGTGAATTGGCCGCTCTAGATGCTAGAGATTATTTTAGTGCCGACATGGCCTCGGAAGCTGCACGTCGCAAATCACTAGATGATGCTATCTTTCTCCGCAAGATCGCTTCAACTCCAGTGAAGTCTGAAGTAGCTTTCCAACAGCACAATCGCCGCAAATCTTTACCTGGTAATGAGTTATCTCAACGTCTTCATATTGAAACTTTGGGTACCACTACCAAACAGCAAAGAAAATCTACGAAATCGCTTGCCCCTTTCGCCTGTCCTCATGAACATTGCCCTAAGACTTTTACTCGGCAATACAATTTGAAGTCTCATCTTAGAACCCACACTGATGAACGACCTTTCGTATGTAATTATCCTGGTTGCCCTCGAGCTTTTGCACGACAACATGATCTCAAACGTCATCAGAAACTACATCTTGGATTAAAACCCCATGTTTGTGGTAATTGTGGTCGCGCTTTCGCGCGCTTGGATGCACTGAATCGTCATCTAAGAAGTGATAATGCGACACAATGCGCTCAAGCAACACTGGCGAATCCAACGGCTGGCAAGCTATTTAAATCAGTTAACATATAGATAAAAAACAAAAAAAAAAACAAAAAAAAACAATTATTCTTGTTGCTTTAAAATTATTTTTCCTCTTTATTCTTTAATGAAGCATACTAAAAAAAAAAAAAATACAAAAAAATACAAAAAAAATACAAAAGAAAAATGTAAACAAAAAAAAAAAGTTTTGTTTTTTTTAATCCCCCTTTTATTCCCCCTTTTCTCTTTCTCTTTCTTATCCTCCACTAATTTAAAAGTAGAAATCTATTTATCATTATTATGTATGATAGATAGATGTTTTTTTGATTAATTAGTGCTTGAGATTTTGTATATTATTTTCGTTTAGATTTCCCCATCCCCCAGCCCCCCAGAATTGCAATTCTGCTTGTGTATATTTTTTTTTTTCGTTCCGTTTTTTTTTTTTTTTTTAGCGTTATAATTCTTGTAAATATTTTAGCAACATAAGAAGATCTGAATATGTTAACTTTTTTGGCTCCATGAAAAAGAAAAAATCGGTTCATTGTATATATTATAAAAGAGAATATTTAAGCAAGTTTGCTATACATGCTGATTCTTTTACGTCCTATACATACTTCAATAGTTTTATACAATACTTATAAATTTTTGTTAATTTTATAGTTTAGCTTTTTTTATTCTTTGTTCCTTTAAAGTGAAAATTTTTGTATTTGAATTTATTTTTTTTAAACGAAAAAAAAAGGCAAACTTTGCAAATAAAATTTTTTGACCTCAGAATTTAACTGATCATGTGACAATGTGCAAGAGACTAAAATTTATTTACTATTGTTACTATTACGTATAAGTTCATTTATGTTCTGTATGTATTGTATATCGATATGCATGCATGTATACAAAAGATGGTTTTCTCAACTGAAAAAAAAAGCAAACTTTACAGATAAAAATTTTTGACCTCGGAATTTAACTTTGATCATGTGACAATGTGCAAGAGACTCTTAAAAAAGATTTATTTACTATTGCAGTATTGCTACAAGGTCATTTACGATATGTATGTACGTATAGTATATCGACATGCATGCATATATGCAAAATAATAGATGTTCTTCTCAACCGAGAGTAGGTGTAACCATAACCGGAGATAACTTATACATTCGCAGTTAATTCAAGATTGTAAATACTTGGCGTTTATTTATGTCCTTTTCATTTCACCTTCCCTTTTAGGTCTTTGAATAAGATAACTGATAAAGGTACGGCAATGAAAGTAAAAAATCACGTAAAGAACTAAATAATATATTTTAATTACATCAATACTTTTATCTTAAAAGGCATTCTTATAAACGGGGGTGCGAACTTGCGTAAAATATATCTTTAGAATTCAATTTATTATGCAATAACAACAATAATGAAGAATAATCATAAAGTTCATAAAGTATATATAAAAAAAAAAAATGGAAATAGCGATAAAGTATTTTAACTACATAAAAAAATTTTTAAAGAAAAAAATATGTCACAAAAAAGAAATGTATTACAATTCATCTTTTTCATGTTTTAATTGCTCTTTCATCTTATCAAATCCCAATTTATCGGATGCTTTTTCGTAACCCTCCGAAGCTTTGTTCTTAGCAGCCTGATAACCTTCATTCACAGTATCATACCCACTAGAAACTTTTTCTTTAACTGTATCTTTAACTGTATCATAACTTTCACCTAAATATTCACCGGTATCAGCCAACTTGACTTTTACAGCATTCAAAAAGGATAAAACCTTTTCTTCAGTAAGATCTCGAACATTTTTTAGATTCCCAAGTTGTTCTTTTATAACATCGGAAAGGATCCTTGCTTGTCCAGGATTAAGTTGTTGAAGCGAGATATCAGTTTCTATTTCATGCAGGGAAAGTTTTTGATCTCCTTTTTTCTTTAATTCCTGAATTTTGTCTTGAATACCCTTAATAATTTTATTTAAACGCTCGTCCTTAGTCCAGTAAACATCTTGTTTCGTCTGACCAGTAGCTGAACTATAGTAATATCTGACGGCGCCGAAACCTCTTTTGATTGTATCTTTAATATATTGAATCTGGTCAACTGTATAAGTCTTTCCATCTTGAAGAGTTTGACCAATATTATCAAGAATGGCCTGAATTTTCTCCTGAGTCAGAAGACGATAATCATTAACGGTAGATAATTGATTTCTTATTGATTCAACAACAGTTTCAGCGTTACTTCCAATTGAATCATAGAGTTCTTTACGAATTCGTTCTAAAGTTCCATTAATAGACCGGTAAGAATCTTCAACAGCCGCATTCAATTTATCATAAGCAGTGTTAACTTGATCAGCAGTCGCGATTTTATTTTGTGTTAATCTCTCTTGAATACCTTAATATATATTAAATGAAAATATAATTAATAATTTTTTTAAAATATGATCAACAAAAATAATAATAAAAACAAAACTGTACCATGTAAAATCAGGCTAACTTGAGTTCCAAGGCGTGATTTAGCAAAAGCCCCGCTCTCATTCAATTTATAAATTTCTTCTTTAAACCAGTCTACAGTCTTTTGAGAAACTTCCTTACTGGTTGATAAATCTTTTTCAATTCTGCTTGAAGCATCATGAATAATAGCGTCTCTACGTTCTTTAGCTAGGGAGTATGAATCCTTGATTTGGTAAAGAGCCTTTTCTAAATTTTTATTCGCAGCGGCTTTGGTACTTTTTAATCGTTCGAATATTTGGTCAAAAACTGAATTAACTTGTTCTTCAGTAAGATGAGTTTGCTGCCTAATATATTCAATTTGACTAGCGACTTTTTGACTGTATTCATTGTATTTGTCTTGAGTAAGTTCTCTCGCATCGTAGTCAACTATTAAATGATATATATGAATAATATAAATTAGAAAAATAAAAAATGGTTTGCCGCAGTAAAATATCAATAAACGAATTATTATTATTCACCATCTTTAAGAGATCCAATATAATAATTTACGAAATCTTGAACAGATTCTTTCGTTGTCTTTGACACTTCATCCTTATGATTTTTGACTAAACAAACCAAATCTTTCTTTTCTGGAATACCTTTATAAATTACACGATGCTCTGATAACCATTCTTTAAGCTCCTGTGAACTCCAAGTGCTAGGATCATTTGAATCTTAAAAATTAATAAGGTAAGAAAATTATATATCTTATCAATTTTAGACAATTTAATTTTTTTTTATTTTTAATTACCATATGGCTTCGTTGCACCGATAAAGGTAGGTGTCACAAAAAATATTAGAAGGAGGCTTAAAAAAAATATTCCACGCGTAATCAACATTTTTTAAATTTTTTAAACAGTATTTCAAAAAACTTTTTTTTTTATGATATTCAAAGGTTGAAACGAAAAAGATGAATTTTTTTACGAGCAGACGACAAGCTTTAAGTAGCCTCTTTTATGAGAGAAAAATGAATTTTTCTTATGAACGAAATATGATGTAATTACTAATTTTCACAGTAGTCATTTAGTAGTCATTATTTCTGTATTTAACACTTACCAATAGATATTGTATCTTGAGTTCATGATACCACATTGACGCAATTGTTATTTGTTTTTGATCCAAGTGATACATTTGGGGTTACTTTATTTTTAAGCGTTCACTGGTAATGTTCATCCAATTATACGTATGGTATGGTTAGAAGCAGAACTACGTACTGACGTAAGTGTGATGAATCACGTGTCGAAAGTTCGACGAATTACGCCTTCTCTTAAAAAGTTTGTACGTTAAATTCAATTAGATAATTAACCACTTAAAGTCAAAGACATACATTATTATTGCATAAGCCTACCTCATTAGCAACAATACTACTATTAAAATTAAGAAATTGAGATACTGTACAACAAAAATATCTACTGTATAACTGATAATACTTCTGTATATATATACTGAAATACTGTATATATACTTCTGTATCTGACCAATTTCATTAATATCATATATCCTGTATTTTCCAGTTTTTCCAGTTTTTTATTGTGATTGCTAATGACAAATTTACTATGTTACATCATTGATCTTATTTATTTTTTTAAAAAAAAACTTTTATACATAATATCTAATGATTATTAAATCTATACTATTTTGTATAATACTTAATAGACTAAATACACTATAGTGGCAAACTATAAATCATTGCGCAATGATCCGTAGTAACGTCATATTGATTAATCCTACTGCGGTCCAATACCGATACGAAAGAATTTTATGATCTATGGTTTTTTTTTTAATGATATTTTTTTTTGAAGATTTATAAATATCGAAAAAAAAAGTTTCTTTTCTTTTCCATTTGATTCTCCATTTAATTTTACTTCCTCTTTGTTAATTTTAGAAATGGATGCGTTAATTGCATTGATACCATCACTATCAAATACTAGTGATAACGAAATAGAGGATGATGTTTCAATAAATTCAGAAAATGGTGATAATAGTGATATCATTCAAGAGAGAATAGAAAAAAATGATGTTACGACTAACTGTAGTACCAAGAACATTTTAAGGAATTTTGATATTGTGGAAAATAAAACAGAGAGATTAAATCAAGGGTTGGGTACTAGGAATGAAAATAACTATACTACGGATGATGATGATACAAGTAGTAGCGGAAGGTCAGCGCATAATTTGAGAAAACGGAGAAAATTTTTGAACATTGAAATGGACCATGAAAGTGATAATTTAGAACTCGATGTGGTAAACGATTTTAGTGATGCAGCATATTCAAGCGATTCAGGGATAGATCGTTCAGGGACAGATCGTACTACACAAATAATGCTGCCGATTCCTGTTGATGATCTTTGCGATAATTCAGAGGTTATTTCAATAAGTTCGGATGATGATGATGATGATGATGAGCAACAATCAACAAATTTACATGTCAATACTAAAGATAATTGTAACATTGTGGATAATAATGCGCTGAACAATTTCATCTCTAATATTATTTCTAATGAGGCTATTGATGTTACTGGCAGAACATTACTGAAACTTGATTGTGTTTACGTTAACATAAAAACGAATGAATTGAAAACCAAATTAGCGAGCACACAGCAACTCAGAGAGGCAAAACATCTTCATCCTATTTCTATAGGAAAGCCTAAAGATTGCAATGAATGGCTTCGATCAGATGCTGCAATAGAGTTATGGGAAAATAGACCAACACGTATGGTTCATGTTAGAAAGAGGAAGAGATCTAATAGTCAAAGGTGAACTTAAGTTTTTAAAATTTTGTAAATTCATATTGCTCAATAATTTAAAAAATTTTTTTATATTTTAGTAGAATTAAAACTAGGAATGCTACTAGAAATGCTACTAGAAATGCTACTAGACGTATCAGGAGTTCGTCACATTCACGTACATCTAAGTCAACACGACAATATAAAACCCAACATAAAACCAGAAGCAGACCATCTTCAGACAAAAACAAAACAAAATCTAAAAATAAATCATTAAATAAGAATAAAACTCCAAAGAAAAACGACGTTAAAATGCGCACAACCCATCCAATTAGAGGAAAATCGATTCCAAGTCAAACCGGTGGCAAATCACGCTTTATGATGGATTATTATTACCAAAATTTCATGAAATTAAAACAAAATGAAGAATTTAATGAATCTTCTGATTTCTCTGATTCAAATGAATCAAATTATACATCTGATTTTTATGATTCAAATGAATCAAATCAAGCGTCTGACTTTTATAATTCAAATGAATCAAATTATGCATCTGATTTTTATGATTCAAATGAATCAAATTATGCATCTGATTTTTATGATACAAATGAATCAAATCAAACTTCCGACTTTCATAATTCAGATGAATCAAATGAAATTTTTGATTCAGATGATTCAAACGAAACTTTAGATTTTCATGATTCTGGTCCGGTAGTAACTGACATTTCAGATGATGAATCGGAAGAACCCTTCAATTACTTGGGAACTGTAAAAGGAAAGAAAAATTCGAAAGATTTTTTGAATACAAGAAAAGATGATAAGAGACCGTTTAACGAAGCAAATGACTGGGAATTGCCATTGTTGGGATCTAGTCCTATTTATGAATATTCACAAAATACTCACATCCAATTTTATGGTAAGTAACATTTAATCAATTAATATTAATAACTCTTCGGCAAGTTTGTTAAATTTGGATTTATTTTTGTAATCACACAGAAATTTCCACGCCGTCGACTGATGTTAATGCTGAAGAGTCATACTTCAATCTTAAATCCGATTTTAATTTGAACGACAATAAAATTAAAAAAGCAAAAAAAACCAAGAAAATTATTTTAGATGATTCAAGTGATCTATCCACCGAAGATGAAGAAGAAACCATTGTAATGTCAAGTGACGGTTGGTCAATGAGTCAGAAATCAACTGAATCAGACGTTATTACTGTGGATGACACAGATTCTCAACGACTATATTCAGCAAAGGATTTGAATTCTATACATCAAGATTCGGCTTTATCAGAACCTCCTCGGTACGAACCACAAATTGGCAAAGTTGATGATCCGCAACTATATTCAAGAATTTTTGAAAGTTTAAACTTATCGACGCCTACACACGAACTTACAAATGGTTCTTTATTTGATCAGACGTTATTTACAGTTGATGATTTAAGCATGTGCTCTCGACCAACAACTCCCACCTCTGAAGTTAACATGTCTCTTGAAGAATGTATCGCATATTCACGATATTCTCGTGAATTAACACCATTAATAGATGTTAACGCATATAATGATGAATGCGCATATAATGATGAATGTGCATATAATGATGAATGTGCATATAATGATGAATATAACATCAATCAACATTCTGAAATAGACTTTAACGAATATTGTTCAGAGAAGACCAAAGATGAAAGATTGACCGATTATTTACAAGATTTGGGTGGTAACTATAATGAATGGTATACTCCTATATGGGATTCAGAGGATCCAATCACGGATTTGTTTAGACCTTTATTGGATGAGCCATGCGTCATTTAATTTCTTTTACATTAAATAGTAAAAAAAAAAAAAATCTTTTTACCGCTTTTTTTCTCATCTTGCATTTTTGTATATTACATAACCAATATAACATTATTCATTTTTCTTTTATTGTACTTTTTGCAAGTATTAATAGTTTATTGCAAAATTTAATGATTATAAAAATTTAAAAATTTAAATGCATAAAAGCATAGATAATAAACGTAAGTTTAAACGCATTTATTTATTTTCCGTAACAAAATGATTCGTCAATTTTAATAATTAAGAAGTGGCAAGTTCAAAAATACCCAACGTTACTCCATCCCTTATTCTTCTTGCTTTCTCATTCCGTGCTTTGTCTTTCAAGTTCATTGCCGTTCGGTTTCTTAATGGTCCATGTGGTTTCCCGTGATGTTTCAAAATTTCCTCCCACCTTGTTCCATACTCTTCCATTCCACGTTCAAGGTAATTTAACTCTAAATCAGTCCATTTATTACGTTTTTGCCTACCAATCCCACTAGTTGATGTGGTTCTTACGAATTCGCATTCAGTTACAATGTTACGATCAATATTTGGCATATTTGTGGTGGCGATGGTGGTCGAAGGTTTCAAAGCGGGTATGTCAATTTCTACTTCGATATTATCTAGGTTGAGGGGAGATCTTTTGATTTCTGCTTCAATCTTATCTTTTTGGAGGGGAGGTCTTCTGATTTCTTGTGGTTTTGCGTTATCATTATTGGGACTTAAAGGAGGTCTAATTATTTCTTGACGGGGTTTACTATTGGATTGTGAAGAAGATTCATAACCTTCATCTGAATTACCTAAGGGAACAGGTCCCTTTGTGAAATGAAAAAGATTTAAGTTTAAATACAGATATACGTATATACAATAACGATAATGATAAATGATTTTTCTTTTTTTAAAAAAAAAATGCATGTATATGTTGTGCCCCAAATCTAAATTTGTCCCAATTGTCAATTGGGACGGCCCAGATGTCAATTTACTAAAATGTAGCTAAACGCCCTGCCTAACGCTAAATAATTTATTTAGGCTAATAATTTTGGTCAATTGACATTTGGGACAAATTAACATCTGGGCACAACATATATATAGAAACTTGCTTTAAAAAAATTCCATAGACTTTTTTTACAAGACATAATACTGTAATACATTGGGTAGATGTTAAAAAGAATTAAGTTCACGAATCTAACTGATCGATCATTGTTTATTTGTTTACATCTTTATTGTTTACGGTACATATAATTTTTTACAGGAGGATCCCTAAATTTCCGGATCAGAATGGCCGTAATGCACCATGGTTAGCTATTCTAGTTAGCAGGAGCGACAGTAAATTTATTAGCTGGGCATTTTTTACTTAATGAACGATTATGGTTTCATTAGTAAAATTCTGTGATACTGGACAAAATTGATCAATTCTGGCCCATCCGACCAGGGTTCCGATGCATCCCGACCCGGAATTTTGGAATCACCCTGTATGAGTTCTGAGTATATACTTATACTAGGGTTAATGCGCGTCCGGAGTATATCATGTTATACTCGTTTTGTTTTTGACGCAAAACAAATTAAAATAATGTAATGAATCAAGAACGCAACAACTACACACGTTCGGATAGTGTTTCTAATTGATAAAAAATTTTCTTTTAGAGTAGGCCGGAATTGATAAATTTTTCCTAAATTCACCCAAATTTTCACTAACGCTAATAAACTGGTAGCCTATATAGTAAGTAAAATTGTTCAGCTATTAATTTGTTATAGTATAGTTAGCTAGTATTATACAGTAGTGGTATTATGCTTAATGCCGGCCTATTCTGACCCTAAATTTTGGCCGATCTGCCGAAATTTGGTTGCGTAACCTATTCAAACCAATTGGTTAGTTGCCAACTATAGACCAAAAATAATCGGCTAGTTGCTATATAATCAATTATATATGCTGTGCCCCAAATCTAAATTTGCCTCAATTGGGACGGCCCAGATGTCAATTTACTAAAATTTAGCTAAGCGACCCCGCCTAAATTAATTTGTTTAGGTTGATAATTTTGGTCAATTGACATTTGGAACAAATTGACATCTGGGTACAACATATATGTATACACGTATAATTGTATAAGTTTTTTTTTTATTTATACCTTGTAAAACAGTATATATATACTTTACTATATACTTTAAATACTTTGCCAGGTTATGCTACATAAATTTTATTAATAAATTCAAAAGCTTTTTAAACCATTTTTTTTTATTTAATCAAATGTAGTAAAAATTTTTTATTTTAATTTTATATTTATAAAATTAAAATAAAAAAGTTTATTGAATTTGGTTTAGTAGTTATTGAAAAATTATTACTAAAAGTTAAAAAAAAAACTTAAAATATTTAAAAAAACTAAAATCTGTTAAATTTTTTTTTTTAAACAAAAATTTTTTAACAACTATTTAAATCTAATAAAAATTTTTTATTTTTTTTAAATTTTAAACAAAAATTTTTTGACAACTATTTAAATTTGATAAAAAATTTTATCAAATTTAGACAACAGGTTAAAAAAATTTTGTAGTTTTTTTTTTAAAAAAAATATTTAAACTTTAAATAAAAATTATTTAGTACTTATGCAATTGAATTTTTTTATTTTAATTTTTATGAGATTATAAAATTCAAATAAAAAAAATTTGATTAAATTTAATTAGGTAAGTGCTAAGTAATCTTTGTTTAAAGTTTAGATGTTTTAAAAAAACTATAATTAAATTATTTTAATTTTTAATAAATATTTTTTAATACTTGTTATCCAAATTTTATAAAAATTTTTTTATTTTAATTTTACAAACTCAGAATCAAAATAAAAAAATTTTATCAAAGTTGAATAGTTGGTTGTTAAGAAATCTTTGTTTAAAGCTTAGAAAAAAAAAAAGCTACCTGATTTTGGTTATTTTAAGTTTTATTTGAACTTTTGGTGATTATTTCTTGATAACCACTAAACCAAATTTATTAAACTTTTTTTATTTTAATTCTACAAATCTATAGAATTAAAAAAATTTTTACTAAATTTGATCAAGTAGTTATTAAGAAATTATCACTAGAAGTTTTAAAAAATTTTCAAATTTATTAATAAGATAATCCGTATATATACTATGCATACTATACTCTCTATGAATAGTTATAATGATTACATTTCAAAAATTAGTACAACATTTTGGTATAGATAAATAGTTAGAACATGGGTTTATAATTAAATACTTTCAAGCTTGTTGCAAGTTCAAATCTAGCTAGCACTATACTTGCTTATACTTCTATATACAAATTGTTCTAGCCTGAAATATTTTTTTTTTTAACTTTAATAACTTCACACAATTTATTAGATGTATATAAGTTTACAGAAACTTAACTATCTAATATTCATAATTGGCTAATACTCTAGCTACTCTGAAAATATCTAAGTATGGTTATCATACTAATGTTTACTAACAGAATCCACATGTACTACTATATGTATTTAAAAAACTGCTAAAGCATAGTACTTAGCTATCTATGATCTTTAAAATTTTAATACTTCTTTCTTTTTTTTTTTTTTGGTAGTAAGCTTCTCTTATAACTACGCTTTGCATAACTCTTCAAATAATTATACTTATTTATTATTCTAAACTCCAACAATCAAAACTACAAAATACAAT